TCATACAATATTTTTTAACTTCTGAATTACAATAGATAATAAATCTCATGATAAGCTTCTTATCAACATCATGATAAACAGATCATGATTGGTGTGATGTATAGTTCATGTTATGACATAATAGCTATGGACTCTAGTCATGCCCATGATTGATACACAACATGATTGTATGATGATATGATATAAACAAATTGACTATGTGCAAATTAATAGTATGACTGATCTCTATATAGACGAACAAGTTTGACAGGATTTATCCATATGATATGTAAGTAGGAACAAACTAATCGGCCGCTCGATCCGGTGTTGTTGAGTGAATAAAAAAACCCATTAAAGAGTTTAGGTAATGATATGTATATGATATGGATTGATGGACCGAGACTATTCTATATGATGAAGAACAAGTAGTGTGCCTTAAATCAATGCCACCCATGCAATTCAACCATCCAAATTATTTTACCTACAACACTGAATGATTGATTTATTGACAGATGATGCTTATTGTAATCATGATGCTAGAATATGACATGCATATTGATTTCCCTACGCATTAATTGTCTGCAATGTTGATTTCTGTGTTCTCTGTTGAGCTTTGTGCTCATATTTGATAATACTTTCAATTTTTTAGATTTGAACAAAAACAAGCAGATTGTGAAAGGCCTGATATTGGAGTACTTGATGGTTCCTTTGAGAAGGTCTATAATAATGCTAATAGAGGAGTTTCTCTATATATGATAAGCCTTATGTGAATACACAATATTAAAAGGGTGCTTACTAAGTTTTGAAGATAAAAAGGCTTTTGTAAGATGTTTGATATGAAAGAAAAATTGTTTTAACTTTTTATTATCATATTTTATGATAACTTTTTAGTGGTGTTGCCATTAATGAGTGATCATTAGTTTATGATTTACGTGATAAACCCCCCCTCTCTATTTAGCTCAATCTTGGTATGTTCTACTACAATGTAAGGATTGTACTAATTAGGTTGTGATACATGCCCCCTATCATCCTCACCATCTTTAACCTCTTACCATGAACTCCCATCATATCAAATGATAGGGCCACCCATGTTTATTAATTACCACGGTGTGCTTTGCTATCATAGGAGAGAATTTCCCCACAAATAACACCCAATCTCAAACTCCTCCCTTATCTCTCAAATGGGATGGACAAAACCCCTATATTAACAAGGAGGCCAACCACGTTTCCCATCTACCAAAGAAGCACCAAGGTTTATGTTCCAATAGAGGTCAGTGAATAATCTTTTGGATATATCAACTTAGATCAATGTTCATCTCAGAAATATAAACAAACTAGGTCCTACCATGCTCATCATCAAAGTTGCCCAAAATAGTTTTCTCCCCGACCTCTAATTCTAGAGGTCTCTTTGCTTAAGGAACTTATAAAGAATTTTGAAATTTCATGATAAGTGTTTGTACCAGGACAAAGTTACATGTACTCCGTCAAGGTAATCCGATAAGAAGAAATCATTTCTAATGATAGACTTCTTTAGTAGCTAAATTTTCTATAGTTCATATGCAGATTTCTTTAGTCAGATGCTCGTATATAGTCAACCATAGGCTTCTTTAGTCATCTTAAATCCTTACTCTTATCTTAACACTTACTGTAACTTTAAACTCTAAATCCTAAACCTTAAATGAAAAATCTTCATCGTTCTCAAATCATTTCCCTCTCACACACGCTAGTGGGAATGAGGCGCACATTCGCCCTTGTTGATCGTCCTGTGCCTCTATTGCTTACATCTTCTATTCATTTGCAAAAAATAGTGGGTGGATCTTCTCATCGCTCTCCCAACAGCTTGCCTTTTCATGTTGCAGCAAGATTCAGTTTTCCCAAAACATAAGTAGCCATCATCATATCAAAGTAAACTTGTGCACATTTTTTCTAATGGTGAGATCTCTGATCTTGCTAGGCCACTTTCAGTCTATTGTAGTCAAATTCCACCTAGATGATCCAATTGTGAATGTCATTCGCAAATTTTTATCAGATTTATATTTGGTGGGAGAATATTCGATTACATTTATTGATTCTTGTCACATCACTATTAGACTATTATCTGATGCACATTAAAACAAAGTCTCTTCAAAATATACCTACCATATTTGTGGCTTTCTGATGGCTTAAGCAATCTCCCAAGTTTAGCACATATATGAAACCACCTATCACACCTATTTAGGTCATCTTCCCTCAGCTAAGATTATATATTTCAATTAACTTTACCATAAACTAATTAGTTTCTATATTTGGTAAACCTTTATAAGTGAATGCTGCTATTGCTTGTTTATTATCAAGGCTTTCCGTGGCCAAAATTTTGATAGAAATGGAAGTTACATTGTCATTGAAAGAGAAGTCAAAATTGACTCAGAATCTTATAGATATTAACAGAAGATAATTTTTAAAAGCATCCTCTATATTGTTATTACTGTAAAATCTTCGGATAAAATTTGCTGATGTTTTAAAGCTCCTCCAAATCTAAGGAAATAAAAAATTTAGCGATAAAAGGGGCTTTCAAATGGCTAGACCCCTTCGTACTCCTACTATTGTAGATGCTCCTCTACCATGGACCAGATTTGCATTCATGATTTGTAACAAACTGACTTACCTAAGGATCTAGAGCCTATTGCTGTTTCTCATGCCCACTAGAAATGATCTCTCCTTCTACTAGCAAGATAATGGAATTTGATTCTCTAAGTATAGATATTCTCCATCTACCTCATACCAACGAAGGCATAGAAGGCCATGCTGCTCTACAAATTGATGATTCTAATGAGAGCATTATGAGTGATGATGCTCTAATATATATAGAAATTTCAAATTATATTTATAAGACGTAAATGTAAACGAAATATATATATTAACGCTTCAAGCAAAGCATTCCAAATAAGTCCACTTTTTTCTCTTGTGTTGTCTTCTCAATTTGTAGGACGATTCATCATTTGGCTTCATGATAGAAGTACTTGATCTTTTGAAATTTTCTTGTAATTTGACAATTTGGTAATTGCTTTTGTTGTTACTAATATCATTATCTTGTTATAAATTATGGTTGAAAAATCCCTTGAAATTTTAAACTTTAAATTCTAAACGAAATATATCATAACCCTAAACCCTAAAACTAACCCTAAATCATTCCTAAAGAGTTCAATTAAAAGTTTATTCCAATACCAACTCTTATAAAGTTGCTGTGTTAACAATTCTCATTGTTTAGACTAGGGGTGTCAAAAGTTGACACGACCCGAAATTCGACCCAAACCCGACCCAGAAAAATCCGGATTCAGTCAACCAGTTTGTAAAACGGGTTGGGTTCGGGTTCGGATTTTTGACCCATATGAAAAATGGGTCGGGTTTGGGTTGACTCGAAAACCCACGGGTCGACCTGAATAACCCGACTAACTCCCCTAGCCTAGTAGCCTGCTTCGGCTTCCGGGTCGTCCCAAACCGCTGGCCACTAGGAGCTAGCACACTCCACTGGCCACCTCCGCAGGACCGCACGCGCGAGTGCGTGACACGCCCAAGTCCAAGTGGACAGCGGATCACGCCCAGTCGCCCTTCACCTGACCGGCTGATCACCAAATCGCCTCGTTCAGCCAGTCAACCCTTCTTCACGATCCATGTGGACGGCAGACCACGCCTACTCGCCTCGATCACCACGCCTTCAGCGTTCTCTTTCACTCGTTCAACTAGCCCTTCACCAACCACCATGGTACACGACTCCACGCCCAAGTCCCATCCCACCTAACAGCCCAGTCGCCTCGATTCAAGCCGTCACGTGCCTCGGTCACCACGCCTTCACCCAGCCCTTTAAACTTTAAACCCGAAATTCAAAAAAAGGCGGGTTGGCAGGTCGTGTTGGGTCAACTCGGTAACCCTCGCGGGACAGGTCCGGGTTGATAATTATGACCCGTTTAGCTAAACGGGTCGGGTTAGTATCAACCCGTTTATGCTCGGGTCAACTCGAGTTCGACCCGAACCCGACCTGTTGACCCGAATTAACACCCCTAGTTTAAACAGAGTTCAAATGTAGCCTTCTTCTATCATCAGCTCCTAGTATAATATAAAGTTTAAAAGCAAACATCCTTAGTCATCAAATTCAATGAAATGTCGGAAACTAACATCATCTATTGCTTGATCTTTTTTTTTGTTGGGACAAGATACTTTAATCACCCATTTTTGTAGAGTTCTATTACCAACTTTTCTTGCACATCTTTGTTAGGAAGGGCGACACCTTTAATCACCTTGGTAACTATTACGAAGTGTTGAAGCTATATTAGACAAATCCACTTTAGCAGAACATTCAATAAGAATATGACACAAAATTTGCTCATAAGAAGCTACAATAATCAACTTAATTAATGCATAAACTGTGCTCCGCTTCAACAACAAAAAAAAAGACTCAAATATGAGTTTTTCTTTATTCTAAGCATTTAACTTTACAATCAAATTAGTTATCTATAAGAATCGAGTAAAACACAAATGAGTGGCATTAGTTAGATCCTCTCCTGGTCAGCCAGACCAACTGGAGTTGGCTTGTGTTAGAGGTTTCACAAGAGGGCAAAAGTCCTAGGGAAAGCTTTGAACCGTTTTTCGATTGATTGCATGCACAAGACAACTTCAAGAGATTGATGCTTCTCTCCAACTCTCTTGGCACGAGAAGAATATTAAGAATACAACAAAGACATTCTCGATAATGGACCCGAAGCAATTCTCAACACAAAAGTAAATTCCCGCTCCACGTGTTTAGGTTTAAATAACCTTTTCAAGGATTAATATACATCTGGCACTAAATGAAAAAATGTTTGGAGGACCAATCATAATGGATGGTTACCCAATTTGCAGTACAATAAAATTCATACCTCTGAAGTCTATAAGGAAATTGTGACATCTAGTAATCTGATCAGGACTAAGTCTATTTAGTCAGTATAAAACTAACTATTTGTATCTTGAAACACAAGAGCAATGCAATCATACATAATAAATATTACCCAAGGAATAAGATTTTGTTCTCCATGTGCTCTGGTGCTGTCAATGGATTTTCTTCCAGTAATCAGCTCCAATAAAACAACTCCAAAGCTATAGACATCAGATTTGACCGTCAATTGCCCGGTCATAGCATACTCTGGAGCACAATATCCATAGGTCCCCATCACCCTAGTTGAAACATGAGACTTATCACCAACTGGACCTAGCTTCGCAAGCCCAAAATCAGAAAGTTTTGGATGAAAACCCTCATCCAGCAATATGTTAGAAGATTTGAAGTCTCGATAGATGACTGGAGGGTTAGCTTTATCATGAAGGTACTCCAATCCTTTTGCTGCACCCGCTGCAATTTTCATTCTTGTATTCCAATCCAGGGGCTCCTTATCAGGTTGGAGATCTGCACAAAATCCTCATTAACAGCTCAATGATATTAAACATTTACTAAGCCAAGTAAAAATGGATGTGTTGATAATATTTTAAATGGTAAATTAGATTTATATCACAGCGTGAAAAATGAAAAGCTGTTTTCAGCGTTGAACAGAATAAAAGTACAAATATAGCTCGGCAACTGAGTACTGATTATGGTTATAGAAAATCACAAACTTTTGGATTTAGTTTCCGATTACTAATAAAAATTAAGCATATCCGACAACCTAAAGCTGAGACAGAAAAATATATTTAGGAAGGAGACTTAAAAATAACAAAGAGGGTATTTAGTTTCCATATTAGTAAACTAAAAAGACTTGGTTAGAAAATATTATAAATGATAAAAAGACTTGGTTAGAAATATTAGAAAAAACTAAAAAGACTTGGTTAGAAAAATATATTTAAATGAGAATTTGACTTTTAACCGGGCATAATGGCGAAAAAGGATTAATGTAGCCGACCCCACATAGTGGGACAAAGGCATGATTGTTGTTGTTGTTGTTCTAGTATTAGTACTTTACTTTTCACAGAAGTGTTGACAGCACTCATTATAGTGCTGCCCTTTTTGGTTATGAAAGCAATGCAATTAGATTCTTTCTATTTGTATGGGCAATATTTTGATTATAAAAATATTCAAGATTTATTAAGGTTGAGTTTGGCGCAACATAGCCTAACTAGAAAAAGCATACACTCACTTCCTACATCAAGGATGCTAATGAAATAAATAAAATAAGACATTTTCTTCTTCCTTCAGGTGTTTTTAGAACCTTATTAATGTTAGAATAACACATCTTGGAGTGATTTAAAAAAAAAACATAGCTAAATTACATCAAACTTTCCTCTTTCCCCATCATCCAACATCACTTGATCCTATACTCCAAAGGGGGATGATCAATTTGCTAAAAAAAGTAATGTACCTCCAAGATCAAAACTAAGTACAAGGCACCCATATCTCTCTAAAATAAAAAAAGAATCATTAAGAAGCTTAATTAAAAGCTCCTTGATAGGTATATCAGCCACATCAATCAAGGAAGCAAAAATCTTCAAAATTATAGGATTTTAGAACAATTCTAATTGATTTATTTGGTCTATTCGAATTTTAATGTTGTTGAAAACTTTATATTTTATTTTATTCTCTTATTTCTTTGCTTTTATGTCAGGATAAGTCATCAATTAATGTAACAATATTTTATAAGCTCCTAGAGCTTTCCAAAGTTATCTAGGTTTGGAAAACGCCTATAAATAGGATATTATTCTATACCTTCAAATTCATTATATAAAAATGACTATTTGATTGTTCAAATTTTGTATAAAAAGAGTTCATAGCTACTGCATCCTTCGATGAAGCTTATCGGCTGATCCCCTAGAGCTTTGGTTGATCCTAGTTATCTTTTCCTATCCTTACTTCTATTTCCCAAAATAATTCTCATATCATCTACATAACATAAATCTTACCTTCCACTAACCCCAAAATATATCCAACCTTTTCAAAATTCTCCTTAACAATCTCCCACGTCCCTCATAATCTACCAAAGCCTCAACTCTCAAATAACCTAAGATATCCTAGCTAAAAGTTAAATATAGAGAAATAATTTCCTATTGTGAGAAACTGGATTAAAAATATCACAACTCCATAATCATTGATTTAAAATCCTTAAAAATACTAACTGATGGGGACATCAGATCATCATGGAAAGTTTATCAAAGACGTGGCCGCCGATCTACGGCCACGATCGAGTCTTTATATTTCTAAATCATTGGTGTATTTTATTATTCATGTATTTTGTTATTTGCTTAGGTGTGTTTTATTATTTCCCGTTGTACCCCTCTTATGGGAGTTGTCGTATGTAAGCTCAAAGGGCATTTGTGTCTTTTGTTTTGAGTCATTTGTATGAGGCTATTTAAAGCCCCACTTTGTTCTATTTTAATTAATGAATGTTTGATGATTAAAATTTCTTCTTGCATGAGTATTGAGAGAGCTTGAGAGTTCTAATGGAGAGAGCTCCCTAGGAGAGGGAAAACGGATAACCCACCAACCTTGGAGACGGCCGGGTTCGTGGTTCTCTTCTTTATCTTTCATCTTTCCTTCTTACACTTCCCTTTCCCCAACATCCTCGCATCTCAATCCACCTTCAAACCAAGCCCACATCTTTCCATAATTAACCTCTCCAATTTCACCCATCCACAAGCCGCTGACCACCTTGGCCGAACCCACCTCCCGCCGGCCCCTTTCCTGCCAACCTCCCCTTGCCCCCTTGCCAAATTCGGGTTGCCTAATCTAGGGGCTGATTTAAAATTCGAATTCAGATAATTTGAGTTTTGAAATCTTTCTTAAATTAGTTAATCTATTTTTGGAAAGTTTCTAAATTGACACTATTTTGAATTCAAATTTAAATAGAGTCAATTAAATACTTTCCAAAGTTCCAATCTAATTTAGGCAAGCTTGTACACATGGCACCAAATCCCAATCCCCCATGATATTGTCGCCGGCCCCCTCTTCAATAACCCAGCAATTTTCAATTAATTGTTTCCTAACTCTAAGTCCATTCTTTTGGAAAAAAATTTCAATTCCCGTAACTCTTACCTGACCGAATTTTTCATTCATACCTAGGCTCTAATTTATTTCCTAATACTAGAGATTGGATTTAGGAAACTAGAGCCCAATCCCTCTCAATCCCACCGACTCCCTCTCCTTGTCACCGCCCCTCTTCTCTCCTAATTGCACTAGTTAAGCTCTCTCTTCCAAAGCTTATAAAGGAAGTTTGCTCTCAGCTTTCTATTCACAACTAAGGCTAGACTTCTCCTCAAAGTTCTCTACGTCCTAGCCCACTAAAATCTGAGAACTCTCAGATTTTTGTTGAAAATCTGAAACTGTTTTCAGATTGTAAGAGAAGTGGTTTGGAGCTTGCATCCTCTCTCCTATCAAGAGAAACTTCTTTCTCTTTGTTACTACGCAAGAGGCGCATCAAGTACTAAGGGATCTTCTTTCTATCATCCATGAACGGCGGACCCGGCAACTGATTACCGCATAACTTGGGACGAAGACGGCTACTTAGATATCCTGCAATCTACGTTCTTCGACGTGAACCCAAGAGTTGATTTCACCGTCAAGGATTACTTGGAGCGTATATTGATATACTTGGTAGAGGCTATCGACGAACATTTTGAAGGCATTGAATGGAGGATCTCCACTAACCCTTGATGAAGGTTTCTCCTCTCCCGAGCATTTTATATCTTTTAGTCTAGATTCTCGTTGGTTTGATTGCAGTCACGACGGACTCTTCCAATTGCTCTTGCTTAAGCTTAGTAATCGTAGGATTTGAGCGCATCTCGATGTATCCTAATTCACATTATCAGATTAGGGATTAAATTGAAAACTACTACTACGTGTTGTATTAATTCTTTTTCTATTTATTTTGGAAGTTTCAAAACTCGTAGCATGTGATTTAGCCTAAACAGATAACTCCTTGTTTTGATTCTTCGTTTTTAGAATTGCTATTAATTTTATTCTAGTATTATTCTAATCACGAGTTGTGCAATGTCTAAATGAGTTCATAATCATTTCATCTACGCAGTCCTGCATCACTAACATTAGTTTTCTAATATCACAAACCCTTGGTCTAGAAATCTTCAACTTTTACATCAAAAAATCTTATTCTTTGATAGCCTAAAAAATTCAACACCAAGTATATCAAAACCCTGAATGCACTTTTCACCACCACCACAACCCTTACACCACATAAAGAGGACATCAATCAAGTTATTGCCTACACTATAAACATCGTATAGACCCTACATCATATTTAGTGGTGTCAAAATAAGTCTTCGAGTCAAGTTTGGGTCCAACCCTAACTTGACCTGCTGTCAACCCGACCCAATTAGGGAAATAGGAAAGGAATCCGAACTCGAACCCGACCTGGTTCGGGTCAACCTGAATTGACCCGTCTACCTAGTTTGTATGGGCAAAAGTGTAGAGAAGCAGGAGCTTTGCAGGCGAGTGAACTGCAGGGCCTGTGGCACACGAGATCAAGCCCGAGTGAAGCCAAATAGGTGCGAATGAGGTCGGTGCGAATGAGGTCGGTGCGGATGCAACTGAGCCGGGATCACGAACTGGCGTTTGCTCGAGATCGCGTATTCGCGTGCAGGCTAGGGTTTTTGGGTTAATTCAGGTTGATTTCGGGTTTCCACGTCAACCCTAACCCGACCCGATTTTAGAAACGGGTCAGAAATTCAAACTCGAACCCGACTCATAAGACAAACAGGTTGACCCAAACCTGAAATTTTTCGAGTCGAGTCAAGTTTTGACACCCCCGATCCCTAAATAATTCAAGGTCAAGCAATTTGAAGGCATACGTTGTTAGTGGTATAAATCAAATATTTTCACAACAATATCTAAATTTCAAGATAAAAGGAATTTGAGGCACCTTGGGCTATCTTTCTTACAAAATTCAGAAAAGACAAAAAAAATTTGCACGCATTAGAATATATTGTGTTAAACTTAGTATTTTTTTTAGCTAATATAACTTTATCAAAAAAGTCTAAATTGTCTAAGGAAAGTTTGAGATATAAGTGGTATTATATTCTCCTCTTAGAAGTTTTCTTAACCCCATTCTCATTTTGACTAAACAAAAATATTCTCTCTCCCTTTCTCATTTTAAACTTTTTCCTCTCATCATTCTCCCATTCATTATATATATAAATATACCTCCTAAAGTTGGGACCTTAGATTACTTTGAAGAATTTTAGAATAATGTGAATAACATACATCAAATCATTAAAAAAAAATTAATGTTATTGATGAAAAAATATTGTGTTTCAAAATATGTTTCAAACTCTTAAATATCAACTATAAAACTTGATTGTTAGACTCCATATCATACCATTTTAATGGGATCTATAACCACAATAAATTCTTCAACAGGTTTACCCAAATAGGGGATTTTCTTGCTAATATACCATGGATGATTAGTA